GTATATACTATATGCATTTGCAGCTGTCATGAGTGATGAAGGACATTTTTTTATTTTAATTTATTTTACATTACATTACATCATTTTACATTATATTGCATTATATTATATTATATTATTCCTTCATTGATAAAGTAACAGCTTCAGGTTTCACCACAAGGTGGCAGCAGAACGGCACATAAAACACTGAAGAAGATACTTTTACTTCTTTCGGAGGGAAACATACTTTTTACTGCACTACATTTATGTGATAACTTCACCAAATTTACAGAACAAAAATATAATTTACAGATTCAGATAATTAAAACTAAATATGAACGAATGAATGATGTATTCTCATAGATTAAACTACCAGCAGTATATAAAGTATTTAAAATGAGCTCCATCAAATAGACCATAAAGCAGGGTATGCTTTTATTTATTGTTTTATGCGTTTTCCCTCTAAACATGTTTTTATTTAAATAATTTAAATTTAAACTATTTTGAGATTAAAAAAAGTTCTCCAATATTTCACAGGGGACCCTTTGGAGGGGCCCGACCCTAATGTTGGCGAGCACAGTCGTATAGTAAAACAAGTATTACTTTAAATACTTTAAGTATATATACACACACACACACACACACACACACACACCCTGTACTGTAATCTTCTGCACAATGAACTGAAGTCTATTTAAAGAGCGGCTCGGTGAGTTTATATTTAGATCTACAATTCACACACACACACACACACACACACACGCATCAGTTCATGTGTGGAACGTGTATTTGTGTGTATTTTTAGCGTGTACTCGTCTCTGACAGCAGCAGTTGTTTCTTTTCAGAATAACTTTTCCAACAAACAGCTGCTTCGCTCTCCGTCACCATGGCGACAACATGCATGATGATGTCATGACGTCATGATATCACACACGTATACTGTCCAGAAGTCTGGTAATACTACACAAAAGAGTACTTATTGTAGTATTTATTGAGGAGGTGACTGAACATCGTCCTAAAACAGCAGACTTTCATCCTGATGTTGATGACATCAGAAAATACATCATGATTATTGATTGTTGATTGTTGATTATTGATTGTTGATTGTTGATTGTTGATAATTGATTATTGATAATTGATTATTGATAATTGATTATTGATAATTGATTATTGATTGTTGATTATTGATTGTCGATTATTGATTGTTGATAATTGACTGTTGATTATTGATAATTGATTGTTGATAATTGATTGTTGATTGTTGATAATTGATTGTTGATTATTGATTCTTGATAATTGATTGTTGATTATTGATTGTTGATTATTGATTGTTGATTGTTGATTATTGATTGTTGATCATTTATTGTTGATAGTTGATTATTGATTGTTGATTGTTGATTATTGATTGTTGATCATTTATTGTTGATAGTTGATTATTGATTGTTGATTGTTGATTATTGATTGTTGATAATTGATTGTTGAGTATTGATTGTTGATTGTTGATAGTTGATTATTGATTGTTGATTGTTGATTATTGATGGTTGATTGTTGATGGTTGATTATTGATAGTTGATTATTGATTGTTGATAATTGATTGTTGATTATTGATTATTGATGGTTGATTATTGATGGCTGATTATTGATTATTGATGGTTGATTATTGATTGTTGATTATTGATAATTGATTGTTAATTATTGATTATTGATTGTTGATTATTGATTGTTGATAAGAGTTTAATTAAAGAGTGACATTCAGACCTGCTGATATGTTTTTTATTTTTTCGTGTAATTTCATTTCCATTTCCTGCTTATTTATACTTCTACTCCACTACAATATTGTACTTTAAATTATACTACATTTATCTGACAGCTTTAGTAAGTTTACTTTATTAATGATGTATTAATATATAAAGTCCACCTTTAAACACATTAATGTGTCAATAATCAAAATACAATGATATAAACTATAATATTATTAGTAGTATTAATAGTAATGAGTGTTTCTATGTGTGGTATTTTATGTATATTTTGATGCTAGTACTTTTTTACTTTCACTTAAGTAAAATCTTGAGGACTTTTACTTGTAACAGAATATTTTTACGCTGTGGTATTACTACTGTACAATTGCAAGGCTACTTTACTTGAATATTTACATTTTCTGCTACTTTCTCCTCCTCCCATATATTATTCTGCACGATGAGTACTTTTACTTTTGGTACTTTAAGTATATTTGATGCTGATACTTTTGTACTTTTACTTAATTAAGATTTTGAATGCAGGACTGGTATTTATACTTCTTACACCTCTGAATGTCAGAGTTTATACTAATTATATTTTTACTCTCAGTATATATATATATACATATACTAAACTAACTAAAAAAACTACAGAAAAACAAAAACAAATTCATCAAATTCTTTTTTCCAGCTGCTCCGACTTCCTGTTTTTTCACTCCAGCTCCTGCTCACCTGATCCAATTAAGAGCTTGCTGCTGATTGGCCGATCTACAGAACCACAGCTAACATGTCGAGAAGCTTTTAATTGGATCAAGTGTTCAATGAAACAGATTAAAGTGACACTCGAAGAGGAGAGAAGTGAGTTTCACCTGCAAACAAACACAAACACAACTTTAAACCCGAAGTACAGCGAATGACTGTTTATTATTTATATATCTATGTTGTGATGTAATAACTGAATACAGGCATAGGTTTTTATGTTGCAATATTAAACACATGCATTTATTCCCCCAATAAAAACAACACAAGTAGCAGAGGACTTTTATTTTGACGAAGTTACTGGATGTAACCCCGGTTCTATGAGTGAAACATGCAAATCAATTTAGAGATTTTGTTCTATTTTTCTTCCATAACACGTCTTCTTTCAGACTAGACGAAATAAAACATTTATTTTATTACTTTGTCTGTTTGCATCTTTTGGATTTCTCATAGAATTCAACCAAAAGTTACCATTAGATAATGCCTCATTTGCATATTTAAACATAACATTTCAGAAAACTTGTAATACAATAAACAATCCTCTTAATGTGAGTGATGAAGTGGTGAAGTTTCATGGTAATATCTATGAGTTCATGTGTTCACCTGTAGAGTCTCTAAATGTCTGTAATGGAACTAAACGTCTCTTTAAAGGACGTTTCCTCTAAATGAGTTTGTTCTCATCTCCACTTCAGCAGCTCTTACATTCACCAAACTTTACACTTTCATTCCTCTCTGTGTGCTGAAGGTTAACACAGAGGGGTTTGTTCACACATCACTCACACACACATTTATACATTTATTAATAAAACATGAGGAAATGGATATTTTTATGTATGCTCACAGTATTTTTTGATTTATGGAGTGAAACAAAGATATAATAAATCCCCTATATTTAATAAGATAATGCCTCAGTTGCAAATATAAACATAACATTTCAGAAACTTTGTAATATAATAAAGTAATTGTCTTATTGTCTTAAACTCTTCATATCTGCTGAAACACAGCAGGTGTTTGTGTTGGCAGAGAAACAAAAATGGCCGCCGGTTGAGAGGAATGTTTCTCCTCAGTGTTTGGAGATAACGAAGTCTGTCTGTTGTTGGAAACACAAAAAGGAAGAAGAAAAGATTTTCCAACAGCTGAAAGATAAATATTTAGTTTAAGTTCCGTCTCCGTGTGTAAACAACAAGAAAGGGCTGATGGGAAATGTAGTCTACAATTAGAGAAAACCTCAGTGGATGTTGAGTCTAAATGTTGACGTTCTTCCAGTAAGACGAAGTTAATCATCTCACATCCTGCTGATTAACTGTGTGTGTGTGTGTGTGTGTCAGAGCCCCCCCACGTCCTCACAGTGGAAACATCCCGTATGTGCATTTTTTCCCGTGTTTTATGAGTTTCACTCGTATAAACGTCGATAAAACAGAAAAATCCTGTAATTGAATCTGCAGCTTCGCCCTTAAAACTACAAACAAAAAACTGCAGCCGCCATTTTTAATTCACACCTCATTTACATTAACTTTATGTGTATTTTTTTTTAGAGTTTTCTGGAGTTCAACCTAGTTTGTTTTCCAGTTTGAAAGTTTATTATTATATTCAACAAATTATTTCACTTTACATACCTTGTTTTTCTAATTTGTTCTAATACTCACTGAATTATTCATTTTTTGTTCTATTTACTTTATTATTGCATTTTATTTTTCTAAAATCCACCAAATTTTTGTATTCATTTATTTTTTGTAATTAATAATATTGGTATTCAAATTTTATTTTCTTGTTTGTAATAAATAAATACCACTTACTGAATGATTCTATTTTATTTCCATGTACTTATTTAATTATATTTTGCAGTAATTATTACTATTGTCATTTTTCTAAAATCCACCAAATATATTTATCTTATTTTTGTTACTTTTATTTACTTTTTAAATAATAGTTTAAATATCATTCATCACTGCTGTATTTTTTTGTATCTATAAACATTTTTAAATCTCTGGTTGGATAAAGTTGTATCTTATCTTTTGAATTTTTATATTTTTTTGTGTTTTATTTACATATTTTAAAAACGAATAACAATGGTTTTAACGACTTTCTGAAGTGTCCCTGAAGGCAGCATAAATAAGCCCCGCCCCCTGTCCAGGGCGGTCTGAGCGATGCGTTCATGGGACTGTTTTTTTTTTAAAGTTGTCAACAGAGAGACGAAGAAGAAGAAAACGAAGAAGAAGAAGAGGAAGAGGAGCAGTGAGCGGCTTGTAACCGACAGCAGAGCTCCGGAGGAGGAATGGGCTGCAGCTACAGCAAGGTGAGCTCCACTAAACACTAAACACGGTAGAAAACAGTAGAGTCCGGTAGAACTCTGTCTGTGCAGGAGGAAGTTCATTAGCATGCGGCTTCTTCTTCTTCTTCGGCTTCAAAACGTGCCGTGAATGAGCTCCGGATAATAATGGACCCACCAAAACACAGCGAGATTTATTCATAATTAATTAAAACTAAACTATTGTTGTTTTTATCGCCAGTCAGACAAAGAAAGTCTTTAAGGTTTAAAACAAATAAAACAAACGGAGTGAACGTGAACGTTACTTTTCTTCTTCTCTGAACATCTGTTTCTAATCTGCAGTTTGAATCTGTTCTCACGAGCTGCACGAGATACTGAGTTTATATGAAGTTTACACGGTTTAATGTAGTTTATCACAAGCTTTAACCTCCTTTGGTGTCTGTAGAATACTCTTTAGCTGTAATAAAGTGTATATTTAAGAGTTTACTGTGATTTTTACTCACTTATGACAAGTGTTAATCTCGTTTATTATCTCAAAATTAATCTTAATTTAAATTAAAATGTGTTTTACTGTGATTTTTACTCAAGTAATGACACATTTTAATCTCCTTTATTATCTTTAAATCAATCAGAATTTGAGATATAGTGTATTTTTACAATGACTTTTACTCAAGACAAGTTTGAATTATCTCTAAAATAATCTTTAGCTGAGATAAAGTGTGTTTTTACGAGTTAACAATGATCTTAAATTATCTCTTGAATCTCCTTTATTATCTGTAAAATAATCTTACTTTGAATAAAAGTGTTTTCATGAGTTTGAATCTATTTTCTATTGTTTTATCTCTTAAAGTATTCCTCTATTACCTCGTAGTGAGTTCCTCCTGTATGAGGCTCTCTACTGATATCTGTGCTGTACACGGAGTCATAATCCTGAAACCTTATTACATGTCTGGCTGTGATTAATATAGACATGAGTTATTGTTCTTTAATTTTTGAAGATTTAAAACTCTTTATTTGTCAGTAGAGAGTTCATATATTTAGTGAAGACACTGTGATTTATTTTAATGACTTTAACACAGAGAGAAACGTTCAGCTGTTGTCTTCACGGTTATTGATAGAAAGTGACGGAGCGGCTTCATGTGGGTCACGGGGGGGGGGGGGGGGATCATTTAAAATAATTTCGAAATACTTTAAGTTAAAGATTCACAGACTTGTTTTCATGTCTGAGGATGCAGAGATGATCAGATCAGTTATTGATTGCTTCATCACTTCTGTTGTTCTGAAGAGTTGTTTGTTGTTTTCTTCTCTAACAAACAAACAACTCACTCGTTTGTCTTCAGGAAGTAAAGAGACGAGATAAAAACATCCGTTAGCTCCCGATGTTCACTTTGACATATTTAGACGTGATGAAAACATCCGTTAGCTCCCGATGTTCACGTTGACATATTTAGACGTGATGAAAACATCCGTTAGCTCCCGATGTTCACGTTGACATATTTAGACGTGCTAAAAACAGCCGTTAGCCCCCGATGTTCAGGTTGACATATTTAGACGTGATAAAAACATCCGTTAGCTCCCGATGTTCACTTTGACATATTTAGACGTGATTAAAAACAGCCGGTAGCCCCCGATGTTCACGTTGACATATTTAAACGTGATTTAAAAACATCCGTTAGCTCCCGATGTTCACTTTGACATATTTAAACGTGATTTAAAAACATCCGCTAGCTCCCGATGTTCACTTTGACATATTTAGACGTGATAAAAACATCCGTTAGCTCCCGATGTTTACTTTGACATATTTAGACGTGATAAAAGCATCCGTTAGCTCCCGATGTTCACTTTGACATATTTAGACGTGATAAAAACATCCGTTAGCTCCCGATGTTTACTTTGACATATTTAGACGTGCTAAAAACAGCCGGTAGCCCCCGATGTTCACGTTGACATATTTAGACGTGATAAAAACATCCGTTAGCTCCCGATGTTCACTTTGACATATTTAGACGTGGCAAAAACATCTGTTAGCTCCCGATGTTCACGTTGACATATTTAGACGTGATAAAAACAGCCGTTAGCCCCCGATGTTCACGTTGACATATTTAGACGTGATAAAAACATCCGTTAGCTCCCGATGTTCACGTTGACATATTTAGATGTGATAAAAACATCCGTTAGCTCCCGATGTTCACTTTGACATATTTAGACGTGATAAAAACATCTGTTAGATTATTAGTGTTGTCTTCTTCTGAATGATGGCAGTAAGCTGAATATTTGGTCGTTGTGTTGGACTCGTTTGTGGAGACGAGTTGTTGGATAGTTGCTCATAATTATATCAAAATATAATTAAATTTTTAGTTTTCTGAACCCGAGGCGGTGACGGCTAGAAAACACGAAGCGTCTCTGAGTGTTTGGCCTTAAATAATATATTATTATATTTCATATATAGATTCATTTCTCAGATTGTTTTTTGGTTATGATGCACGTCGGTCTGCGTGTGAAGCCGCTTTAAGCTCCACGTTTTTAAAAAGCTTAATTTATTTACACCGACATTAAGAATAAAGTCTTTAGTTTCTTTAATAAAAGGCAGAAATATCTTTGAAATTTGTTTTTTTTTCGACCAGTTCGAGGAGCAGTTACACAACATGAACTAAAGCTTCTAATGATCTCAGAATAGAAACGACTTAGAAGCTCAGAGTCTGAGCTGCTGCAGGAGATCAATGAACTACACACGCTTTAATATTTAAACATGTTCACACAACACGTGCTTTAACATTTAAACATGTTCACACAACACGCTCTTTAACATTTAAA